AATTTTCAGTGAATGAGGTTTTAATAGGAATAAGTGGAGTGCAACTTCTCTACTTCTGTTATTTTCTATAGTTTTTTTCTAAAATAAAAAATGCATTACGATATTAAAGCTTTCATTGATTTATTTGCAATTTGAAACATTGTCTAGCCTGTAAGGTGCAAAAACCCCCCCAAAAAATTAACCAATTAATCGAATCGAATCGTGGTGTATTCTTGAGTATCGAAAATAATTGAATCGGTGGGTCAGGAAATCGATACTGAATCGAATCGCCATGATGGGTGTGATTTACACCCCTAGGTTTTAGTATTTCATAGAGTTCCTGATCATTTCGAGTTTTAGTGTACCGTAGTTTTCCTGTTATCATGCCTTGTTCTGCCTCTCTACTACTGAGCTTGCCTGTTTCCATCCAAATGTTCTGCCTGAACTCTCTGTGGACTCCTGGAACACTCGACCTGCCTGTTCCTGTTCTGATCGGAACCCCTGACCGAGCTACTGACTGCTGGATCTCTGAGCCTATCTGCTCTGAACTGTTTCTCTGACCTAGTTCAGATTCAGGCTTCTTCGCTTCTTTAGCTTCTCTGATTCACTCTGAGAGGTGCCCGTCTACAGTATCTGATTGCCACTCCATCGGCTGAATCCTGCCTCACTCTCAGTAGTTGGACTGAACTGTTGAACCAGGTACTGTAAGGGACTCAAATGGATAATCATCTTCGGTCTGATTATCTGGGTCACTTATCTGTCTTTCTCTCTAACCAGAGTTGCAACTAATGCCCCCGCCTCTCCCTACAGCCGCTGAAGATCCACAGCACTGCGTTCTGATTNAAAATAATTTGTTATTAACAAATCAAGCAAAACATGAACGATTTAAAGCAAATGGAGGGGAGAGTCAATGCATGCCCTGTCATGATCATTACCCTGATAGGTGACCTAATTGCTCATTTCGCTCACCTGCCTAACTCTGCCCGGTTACCAATTATCACTCATCTTATCCGCCTGCTCCTGCTGTTTTATATACGGCTCATTCAAAGCTATCAGGGACAGATCATTGTTGCTGAGATTACTGATGTGTTTTTGAGTTTTACTTTGAGTTTGAATTTTGGATCATTGCTGAGGCCATAGTTCATGTTCTTGTTCTTGGAGGCCAGTGGTGAGAGGGATTTTTAGTTGGGGTGTAAATAATAATCGTTTTGTATCGATGCATCAATCCAACAGCCGTAGATCCGATGCATCGATACGTCCGCAAGAGAATCGATTCATGTTTTTTTTCCCTCCGGTCTATTTTTATCCATTTGCTTCTGGACGTAATTCTCCCTCCCGTACTGCGGTGGTGCTAAACCTATTTTGCCCTCCTACCTCGCTTCCTGGTTATGCTCTTACAGCAGTGTGTTGCAGTGAGCTTGACACAGGCATTTTTGATTTATGCTCAATATTGAAGCCTGGTCTGTGCTACACACTGTGGGTCTAGATACGGCCGAGGCGGAGAGGAAGTGGGGGCGAGTTTGGTCCGACGATGGAGAGACATGAGGGCCAAAAAGAGCGGAGATCCAGGTGGAAAAAGGGTCCCAGCGTTCTCGCGCACCTCGCTCTTCTAGCGGGTCAAACTTCACGAGTTGTTTTTCGCAATTTCGGTCATAAAAACAAAACAAGCCGGCCTCCTGTCTGCGCCACTGTCAGCTACAATTTGGGAGAGGTGCAGCGGAGCGTCTGTGGAGGGGGTGGGGACGTCTAGAGCCGAGGTATTTCATATTGTGCAGTATTTTTTGATGCAAGGCCTTTCAGAATCTATAACGCAGGGGTATTATTATTTTTCGGTGAATGAGGTTTTAATAGGAATAAGTGGAGTGCAACTTCTCTACTTCTGTTATTTTCTGTAGTTTTTTTCTAAAAAAAAATGCATAAAGATGTTACAGCTTTCATTGATCTATGACTCGACCTGACTGTTCCTGTTCTGATCGGAACCCCTGACCGAGCTACGGACTGCTGGATCTCTGAGCCTATCTGCTCTGAACTGTTTCTCTGACCTAGCTCAGATTCAGGCTTCTTCACTGGGGCTGCAGCATCTGATTCACTCTGAGAGGTACCCGCCGCATCTCGTTGGCAGTCCATCCGCTGGATCCTGCCTCACTCTTAGTAGTTGGACTGAACTGTTGAACCAGGTACTGTAAGGGACTCACATGGATAATCATCTTGGTCACTTATCTGTCTTTCTCTCTAACCAGAGTTGCAACTAATGCCCCCGCCTCTCCCTGCAGCCACTGAAGATTCACAATACGGTGTTCTGATTTTAATAAACGCTTTTAATTTTCCCACTGTCTGTCTCTGCTTGAATATAGGGTCATACATTCTCACTCTCTTGACATGCCCTCTACATGATTTCAAGGTGTGGCTGTTGAGAGCACTTCGGTCAATATGTGCACGTATCGGCAGGTGCTGCTACAAGAAAAAAACTATATCAGCTAAAAATATCAGGCAGCTGATGTGTCGGTCCTTCCGTGATCTATACCTCAAATCGTTCATGTTGTACTCCAGAGCTGATTCCTGGGCTGTCACGTCTTGGTTGTAGTTAAGAGGACCCAAAGTGCAGAGGCAGAGAGGCTGAGGTGAATTCTTGTAGTTTTAATAAAAAAACACTAATAACAGAGGCAAAGTCCGAAAATCCAACTAAAATGTAACTCAGACCAGAACCACGGAGACATCAAGGGAAACGCGCACAAGGAGCCAGGGAGAGACGAGGTGAGAGGACAACTGTGACGACAGGACCAGCAACAACAAGGAACCAACAAGGAGTGACTGCAGAGGAAGAGTATATGTAGCTGACAGACAAAGGCAGGGCTAACGAGCTGACAAGGAGCAGGTGTGAGGAGACAACAATGGCGCCAAGGGTAAAGGAACACACACAAGAGGGCAACAGAGGAAAACCAGGAAAAACACAGAACTAACATAAATCTAGAAACTACAACAAAATAGGAAACTATTATAACAAAATAAAACAAAATAAAACTAGAAAACAAGGAGCAAAGTAAACCACAACATAACCAAAACCATGACACGGGCAAGAACTTTAGTGTCAAAAGTTTGTCTATATTCTATGATCATTTGCATCAAGATCTAGATACTGAAATAAAAACCCTAGCTGAATAATTCCTCAATAAAGAGACATTCGATAAAACAGTTGGAGGTTTATGAAACTATAGAGCAGCTTAAATCCTTTTCTGTAGCAGTAACGTCTTTGACTGTTTTTTGTAAAAGCTAAAAGGATTCATCTTTTGGAGAATTTCTTCACCTTGTGTTATATATCATCTTATTCCAGAGCTTGCTTCTCCTTCCACCCCTTTTGGCGCACCTCATTTGTCACCAAGGAAGTCTCCAAATGCCCTCCACTTTTTATTGCATGCTAGCCTCATCCAAGACTCCCTATTCTGTAAAAAAAAAATCTCTTTTTACCAGAATACTACAGAGCCAGAAAGTGAAGACAATAGTCTTCCCCAAAAAGCTACACTGAATGAATCACAGCACATCCGATCTCTTCCCGTAGTCCTCATAACCTTCTCAAACTTCATTTAAGCCCCAAACACCCGCCGGGCACACGCTAAACTCAGCTGATAAACTAACAAACCAAAACAAAATGACAGCCTTCAGTTGTTGATCAACGGAGGAAAAGGAAAGGCGCGTTTGATGAGGACAAGTGCAGCGGCAGGGGAGGGCGGAAAGGGAAAAGGAATGAAAAGAATACATTATGTTCTGTGCATTCATGTTTCTTGATGAAATGAAAACCCCGATCTGGATGATGACACTAAGTTGTTGGTGTTAACAGGCTGCTTCTGCTGTTCCCTCTATGAGCAGCTTGTGCTATCTTTGGAGCATGTGCTGTGGTGAAAAGGGCTGCATTTCCATCATAATAACAAGTGAAAAGAGTGAACTGTCACAAGGCGCTTCCTCCTCTGGCTCTGATGCATGCCCCTCAGTCTGGCCTCGCTGTGCTGATGGATGAGCAACAGAGTGCGTCTCTCAATGCCAAAACTGAGCCCCCAAATATGGGATCACTGCTGTCTTTTTAGCTCCATAGTTCATGTCAAGAAGAAGAAAAAAATCACGGGCACAGTAGCAACGTTTGAATAATGCCGTTACAAGAAAGGCACTTTTAGATAATGGAGATGAAAGGTGATATTGACGGGGCTGTGAGGAAAGGGAGAAAAAAAAATCTAATTTTGTATTCAGGCCACTTAGATTCAACATCATCATTAATGTAGGCTGAGAGTCCAGCACACCCTGGTGTTTACCATATGCAAACTCAAGCTGGGAACAAAAACAAGACACGCTTTCCTTTGAACAACCACGTACAAGTGGGTGGGGTGGGGGACAGTGGAGAGAGAAATTTACTCTGAGCTTCTGAATCACGAGAAACAGGCAAAAAAATTCCGGCAGGACTAGAAAAGCGTGATTATGTCTTAACGACTGGTGTGGGAATTAACACACTGCCGGTGGTGACTCATAGGGTGTTTGCTCTCATTTAAATGTCGTATTTAAAGAAAAAAAATTGAGCTTTTCTATGTAGAGAAGCCAAAGCAGGGTTTAGAGACGTCACCTTATACTTTCACAGGATAAAAAGTTTTTCTTCCTTGAAGATATTGCTCAGCATCCTGCTTGGAATATTAGTATTCCGTTGACCTCCATCCATTCCTGGCTCTACAGTGCCACTGGCTACAACGGTAGACTAACTGCACAGAGCTGATGCTCTTAGATTGAAGATTACTTGCCTCAGGAAGGCTTTTTGGTTCTTCCTGCCTTTTGGACCAGAACCTGACTTAATCGGTTTGAATAAAAACAAGCATTCTCTAGGGTCACAAAGAAAGAAAAAGTCAAATTAAAACCGCAAGATGAGGTTATAACTGTTTTATCAAGCTCCTTGTTTCTCTCTCCACTGTGTTCCTCCGACTTGTGAGCAAAATTCACCACAGTTCTGATTCAAGTAAAGCCCAGAACAGGGGCCCGGGGCCTACCTGAGGGGAAACGCTCGATGACGGGCTGGTTGTCCACCTGCAGTGTGGCGTTGCCACCACTGCGTGTGAATCGCACCACATGGTACTTTCCGTCGCTCACCATCACCGCGCTCTCCTCAATGGTGATGTCGTCCGTTCCCACGTTGAAGATCACGCCGACCTTTCCCCGTTCCTGCAAACAGAGAACAAAGCAAGCTTGGTTACAAGAGAGAGGCCGATTATCAAAGCATTATAACACAAATATAGAAATCTCCTTTAAAGGTTTTTGAACGTTTGTGTTGAATCTAGATTCTCTTCCCTTTTATTAAGAAATCAAGACAGATTTTTTCTTCTTGGTTGTGATTGCTAAACATATCAGATTCTGTTTGGACTGGGCCTAGATTATCTTAAGAATTTGTTATCGGAACGGTTGTTTGATCCAGAACAGGGTTTGCTTGAGTGCGCAGTTTTCGGTCACACCTGCACAAAGTTCCAAACGAAGAGCGTAATAAAATGTATTTAAAGTGAACTAAACATGGCAGGTGTGAACATTCCCAACAAGTCAGTTCATAAACAGATGCTTAACTACAGTGAATAATATCATGAGTTAATTTACATTTTTTACAGTACAGTAGCAGCCATTCAAAATGGCCCTTCCCAGTCAAATGGCAGCCCACTTCCCTGTGACTCCCAGCAAAATCCCCTCCAACTTCAAGCCACTGGAGTAACTCCATCCTTCTCCTGGGCATGGACATTTTTTTACTGTGACTACACCCTTTCGATGAATTACAGGGTCTGACAGGGAGAATGTAACCTGACTCCGCCAGACGGATTTGCTCCGCATATCCATCTGGAAACCTTCCGTTGAAGTAATTTTGGGAAGGGGCGAAAATACTGGTTAGCTGATTGGCCTATGTTGGTGATAGACAGGCCAAATAAACCAATCAGATCAACGAAGCATATGACGTACTAACAGAGCGACGACGAAGAGGAGCCAATTGATAGATCAAACTCTTGCCGAAACCAGTCGGGAGAAGAGCAGAAACATCTTTTTCTCTGAGAAAAGCCTCCAGAGCAGTGTTTTGCTCTTCTTTCAGTGAAGAAATACTCTGTAATTCCGATAAAACTTGCTCGATAGCCACGCTAACGCTAGTTTCATCGGCTAAAGCCGCCATGTTCTTTAGACTGAACTGTCGCGCTTCTCGTAGTGTCACACCTCAACCCGCCTCAAAGCCAACGCTGATTGGACGTTCGTTTGGTGAACGGCTCCAAATTTTCTTTAACGGAGAGTCTCCAGACTAATCTGCAAGTGAAACCTTGAAAGCTCGCGAGATCAGGATGGTCTTACGAGGCTAGGGAGAAGGTGCTTCTCTTTAGAAATTTAGAACAAAGATTGATGTTTAAAAAGTAACTGTAGGAGACCAGCCAAGGGCCCATACAGGAAATTGGGGAAATTCTGAATGGCTACTACTGTAGACTAATGTTTTTTGTTTTTTCTCTAAACTGGTCTGACATAAAAAGGGATTCAGGTTGGGAGGAAACACAAGTGGCAAAGGTTCATGGCTTCAAATCTCACCCTGGAACGATATGTCAAGGGCTTAGGGCCTCCATAAACAGATTGTGGGCTCAACCCTTGTAGCACCACTGTTGCCCAAAATTATGTCTTTCTTCAGTGAGAAACAATATTTCCTAAGAAACCCAAATGGTTGACACGTGTTACAGTTTTACTCTCTGCCACCTTGAACATCCTTTATTTGAACCTTTTAGAGGACACCACAGGTTTAAAGGTTTTACATTAAAACATAACTTCACTTGTGCTTACTTTAAATGGACATAAGAAGACATATTGAAACAATCAAAGAGGTCAAGGTATGTGTTAAAGACAAAAAACTGTATCGTCTGCATAAAAACAAAACGATTAGGTATGACAAAATGTGAATGCAAATAGGAAAGTACAGGCCTGTATTTATTATAGCATCATATATGATATAGCTTTACTTTTTTATTCTCTTGGGCTCAGTAGTCTCATTGGATGTCCTACTGTATGTTTCTTCATTAGGCAAAAATAATCACTGTCAGGACTCCTGTCTGTCTGTTTGTGTTTTCTGTGTTTGTCTCCCTTCCTCCACCAGGAGGCGCCTGGTTCTGATGGTTACTTCGTTAACGGAGTGTTCTTAAGCTGCTGACTGCCACTACCTCGACGCCAGAGTGTTTGCCAGTTTTGGGTACTCTAGCCAAGCTGAGTTTTGCTGAGTCAAACTGAGTTCTTGTCAACCTGAGTTTTAACATTGTTTGTCTTATGCCTCTCGGCAGGAAGTCATCCTGCTAACTAGATTTTTTCGGACCTTCTCTCCCTGGAAGGATCAACTGAGCTACAAACTGAGCTGGGGTTCAAACTGGAGGTTTGGATCCACTTTCCCCAAGATATCGTTTGAGCTTCGCACTGAGAAAGGGATTAATCTCCACTACGACCCGTTCAAGTACAGCAGGAAATCTGAGTGGCACTCAGTTTTCTCTGTTCACCTATTAACAAAACCCTGTTCCGCCCTCCACCGTATCGGACAAACGCTGGAACAACAGCATACAGACTGGAGTCAAAGATTCAACAACTTCTCTGGAAACGTGAGTCAGTAACCAAATCCTCTTCTCCAAGTTCACGAGTCAAATTTCCCACTGAGCGTGAACTAACCGCTGTGTCTTCCCCTCACTTTTCAGTTCCGGTTGAGCAGTGTTCAGAGCAACACTTCTCTCTGAATTTTCTCTTCAATAAAACCTGTTAAACCTTTTCCCTGGTCTCGCTGTTTGGTCTTCTGCATTTGGGTCTGAACCTTAGTAAAATCATGATAATCACATCCAGAGAGATGTCTCTATGAGCATCAGATCTCATTCACCTCAACTTGGTCAAAAGAGACAGTAAACTGAGGACTGAGGCACCTTTAGTATTCATCTTTTGGCCCACCCTCCTCCCCTTTCCCATTTATTAGTGTTGACAGCCGCCCACTGCTCTGAGTTTATTACAGTCAACCGCCTACTCTACTCTTTCCTCCCGCCAGTTCTCTCCTCTGCCTCCATGGCTCCTGTCCTTAGTCCCAGGAAAGGTCAAAGCCATTTACAGGCTGGCAGAAAGCCACAGAAGAAGGGTGAGGGAGGGAAACAGAGCACATACGAGACAACAGCACAGCAGAGACACGGCCTGTCTGCCAGTAATTCCTCTGATGCCGTTTTGCCCCGCTTAAACTCGAAGATTCTGCTCGGGTTGCTCCTGTCCAAACCACAGAGAAGAGCGCTTCCTGGCCGTCAGTGCAGGTCGAGATCATTTGCAGACGGGGTCGCCTTTGCATGCTGTTCTCTACTCTCATGCAGATAAAAACTGTATTGATTCCATTATCTCATTAGCTATGTGCATTTATTTTGCTGCTTCACATATGCTAAGAAGGGGCGAAGCGTTTGCTTGCAGCAATATTTCATTATTCATAGCTGATTAAGAGTTTTTAAAAAAGACAATAAAACACTAGAATATCAGCAGAACTGGAAATAGCTAGATCATAAAGTAAATAAGTACAGAGGTGATAGGGTAAGGTGATGATTAGTATAATTGGCTGGATATATGGCCTGCTAAAGTTCTCAATGGTGCTCAGACAGCATGGTTCAGCAGAATAGATGTTGGATTAAAGCAGGAAAAAAAGGACTCCCTTTTCTCGGACATGGACACCAGATTCAGATGAGCTTCCCTCAGTGGTGCTTGATGGACTACCACTCAGATGATCTCATCGAGCAAAGAGACTCGAATGGCAAAGTGCTTCCACCTTCTTAGGTGCCTAATGAATTGATTCGTGTTACATCACAGTCCTCACAGGCTTTCTGCCCACTTTTAATATACATTCCCAAATCATCCATTTTTTTTAAGCACACATGACTGATAGCTCAACCATAGCAAAAACTACCGCAACCTTTTAGATACTGCATCAGGAAAAATCTGTCTGAATGGAAATGCCGCAATCATCTCCATTAGGTCCCCACACAGGGAGACCATAATAACAACACCTTTGCTTTTGCTTAGAGAATTAATTCAATTTCACAGAGCAAAAACAGAATGAATCTGTGCTATTAAGACTGAAAAGCAGAGAGGAGAGTGAATTTTCGTGATATTTACACAGAGATTAGCATTTGTGTTCCGCTACATTAGGGTTCTTCTCTATGCTGGGGGAATGCATCGAGCCCATAACAATGAAAAGCCTCAGGGAAGCAGTGCTTTTTTGGAAAAAAAAAAATAAAAAAATGATGATTTTAGTGATGCAGTAATGACATTTTAATGGCCATTTCCCTTAAGCGAACATATCTCTAGACACAGAAGTGCGGGGTGGGGGGGAGGCTACTGAACGACTGGGTGCAGTCAAGCCTGCATCACTGAAGTGAAAGGAGTCCAGGAAACCTAAAATAAGGCCGGGCTGCTCTTTGAACACCACCACTTCTCAGCTACTGCTTAGCAGTCCTTAATCTGCTGGAGCTGTCAGCCAGTGTCAGGAGCCGGGCTCTCCCATTTCTACTCTTTTATCTGGAGGTTAGTTTGTCTGGCTTTTCTTTCCGAGGGTCAGTCAAAGGTGTAGTTAGGGCTTTCCTTTTTTTTGTTGCATGCTGCTCCTTTTCAATCATATCAAATCTGCATCTCCAAGAAGATGGCAGTTAAAGCTTTAGTTAAACATTTATAGTGGTAAGAGGAAAGAGAAAGAAAGATACGGTAGATTAGTAAACAATTCAGTTTCAGACAATTTTTTTTTTTTATTGTTGTAGCTTAAAGTTAGAGAAAAAAGGATTTTAATCTGAGAACAAAAATGAAATGGGGATATCAATTGCAGTATTTTCCAAAGAACTTATATCTCTATCAACTGTGTTTTTTCTTTTCCAAAAAGAAAAAAAACTGCCAATTTCAGTGTTTTTTGGGGATTTTATGCAATGGATCATCACAAAGTAGACCATTGTTTTAGAGGAATTGGATAAAGATAAATAGTTCTACTTTTTTTGGAATGAAATAGCAAGAAGTGAGGCATGAGCTTTACATATTGTTAGAAATATTTTATTTATACTCCGTTTGTGTTTCATGGGTTGTGTTCTAATGAACTATTCTGATGTATAATGTGTGATTCATCTTTTATTAACTCTTGCTTAAGATTGTTTCAGATAAAGGTCATGCAA